CTCGACGAGTTAGGGCTTTAGAGCTACAACTCGTCGAGTAGATCTTATAAAATGACATTTAATGAATTAAATATGTACCAGGAACGGGGCGTTACACCTATACATAGATAATTTCCTAGCCCAAACCACATAATCATGACCTAACAGACCCTGTTGTCAGCGGTGATAGTTGTGACGACCTCCTCCACGACGGGCTGAATTGCCACGGTATGAACCACCCCCACCCCCACGAGTCGACGACGAGGATGAGATGGCAGCGTGAAGAAGGGAGGGAGCGAAGATGTGGTTTTTATGAGACTGAACGGTGAGAAGGGAATTGTTGATTCTCATTTCTTCAACTAGTAACATCGATATCATATCGGAGAGAGTGGGCATGGGTTTGGAGAACCGAATAACACCTGAAACAGTGTCATATTTGCTCGGGAGACCGTTTAGAGCATGAAGAACAACAGTTTGGTCTTTCATCTTTTCTCCAAGTCCCTCAAGTAAATCTGTTGTCTTCTTGATTCTCTCAAAGTAATTAGGAATAGTTAAGTCGCCCAGTGTGATGTTTCTCAACTCATTCTCTAGATGCATGGTTGTGGATTCGACATCATCGTAGAAGAGAGCATGCAAGTTTAACCATATCTTGCGAGCCGTTGCTTTAATGGACCAGGCGGAAGCAATGAGTTTTGAGATACAGATCCGAAAATCCATAGTTTGACAATCTGATCGAGTTCTTTCCATTATGTGGTCGTAGGGGGTGAGTTTGGAGGGTCATAAGTTGAGTCGATATGATTAGCAACACCATACGCAATATAGTGAGCTTGAAAGAGGTCGCTCCATGGTTCGTAGTTACGGACTGTGAGATCGAGAATGAGAGGTACGTAGGTTTTAATATTGGTAATACAATACGCTTTATGTGGAGGTTTAGTACTGGAATTGATGTCGCTTGTCATGGAGATGAAGCAAGAAGGAGAAGAAGAAGACAGAACACGAAGAAGAGGGAGGCAAAATACAGGAATCGGCTAGGGTTGAGAGCTATAGCTCTGATACCATAGTAAGTCACAATCTCGTTAGCGTATTTGCATTACCAAAGGAGAATATATACAAGAGTATCATGGGCGAAATATATAATGGGCCAATACAATAACTAAATAGAATATAATACAAAATACAATGTGGTCTGCTAACAGGTCACATATAGGTAAATTGAAGCTTCAAAGATGGAAATTTTGCAATACCCATGTATATCAAATAAAATTAAGTTGAAGCAAACCATACCAAATAGCTTTTGTGGTGCTAGAAAATATTCATAGGAAATAATTAGCATAAGGGTATAAAGTTGAAATATTAAAACATGTTACAAATTATTTTTTGGAAACATTTGAATTTACAGAATGATAAACATTAAAATGATGACTGCAAAATCTATTGTTTAAAAGGAAATAATTCTCTTTTCCACTGTGTTTTGTAGGACGTTATACTTCAAAAATTTCCAGTCTACTAAACCTTGGGTTACCTTGTATCAATAATTTTCTCCTCCTTTGTGTTTTGTGAAAAGATTTTGTCTTTGTGATGATACAATTCCCATTCCAATCAGCAACAAATGCATATTGTTAAGCCTTATGGTTCATTGGCATCAGAACATAGAAAACAAAGTGCTTCAGTAATTCAAATCAAAACATGGATGAAGTCTTTTGTAAAACCTTAAAAGAATAACAAAATCATATTGTTATGTACTAAAGCAATGTAATCTCAACAGAAAAATATTTCGGTTTTTTAAACCGACAAAATGAATAACAACATCATCCCCAAGATTTCATTGCTTTGCACTTATTACATAGTTTAGTATTTGTCGGTCTCCATTAAACATCTATCTGAATCTCTAAAACTAATATCAACCGTGAAAAATCAAAAATTACCTCCATGACTGAGTCAAGAAAATGATCGAATAGTTGGTGGGCAAATGATAATGCAAGACCAACTACCAAAAGTAAGAAATTTATGCAATCTAAGTATCACGAAGCCATGAAGTTCAATGGAAATTAAACACATGAAAAATCAAATGAACAGAAAAGCAATACAATCCCATTGGAGCTTTTATCAATCATTTGGATAAGAACCGACAAATAACCATATATATTCCTCTCATTATGTGAACATCATTATCTAATGGGTCTTGGTAAGGCACATCCTTGAGTAGTGATTGTTGATACAGATGAAGGAAAGAAACAACATAAAGCGTTGACCCAAACCTACTTTAGAAATTGCATGAGGAACCATAGTAACTGATGAACACACATCGTGAACATCATACAAACATACACAAAATATCTACGAAAATCAAAGATTAAAAAAAAAACAAAAGTTGAAAGATTTTGCGTTTTGGGTGTAGAAATCAATATTTTAATTTGAAATCGATTTGGTTTCAAGATCTACTACGAACCTAATGAGAAAACTAAAATCAAGATGGACAAGAGTACGAAGTTAAACCGATGATTTTTCTTTCTCCTCTGTAGCTGTAACATCCCGACTCCTAGGTATAATATTTATATATTTATTTATGATTTGTATGAGCAACTCGATGAGTTGGATGCCCCAACTCGTCGAGTAGAGGCGGATTGACCACGTGGGTTTTATGACCAACTCGACGAGTCGGAGAGACCAACTCAACGAGTCGGAGAGACCAACTCGGCGAGTTGGCGCTGTGAGAGGAAACCCTAATTCTTCGGGGTTGGGTCCTATTTAAAGGACCTTAAGCCCTCATTTATGCCTCACCAGCCACCTTACTCCCATGTGTGAAACCCTAATCGCCTATATTGAGCTAAGAGAGAGAGAGAGAGAGAGAGAGAGAGAGAGTGAGAGAGCTAATCTTTGGGCATTTTAGTGCACTTTTTGAAGAGAAGAGTGGAGAATCCAAGCAACGAAACGAGAAGAGACGGTTGGATCTGGTGTTATTTCATCTAGAGCTTCTGTTGAACGTAAAAAGTCTCTACCTTGCTCATTAGTTTGATTAGATCCCATTTTACGAAGTTTTAGGGCTCATTCCAGCTTTCCTTGAGGCTTTGAGTGGGTTGAGCTTACCAAGATATTGAGACTTCAGATCTAGACCTTGTGAGGTTCCTAGAGTCCAAAGGTCCCAACTTTATCCAGTCGTAGAGGAGCTTGTGCACTTAAAACCCTAAATGGAACTTGTTTTGGCATTTCAAGCCCTAAGTGCCATGCATGGACGTAAAACTTGTAGCTTCACGTGGTATCTCAGCCTTAGGAGGCTAGATCTAGAGTTTGGGGTTGTAAATCTTCCTTAAAACGTCTGAATGAGAATAGAGTCTGAAAGGACTCGACGAGTCGGAGAACTGACTCGACGAGTCGGTTAGGGTTTTCCCCGACGAGTCTGGACACGTGTGACTCTGCGAGTTGATGAGACAACTCGATGAGCTAAGGGGGACTTTTGAGACACTTCTGGAAACAAGGGGACTCGGCGAGTCACATCGGTGCACTCGACGAGTCGGGTCAACATGGACTATTGACTCGAGTGTTGACTTCTGTTGACTTTAGGGTTTGGTCAAGACAGAGAATAGGGAGACCATGGAGGGGTAAAATGGCCTTTTAACCATTCCAAGAGATTAAAGAGAGAAAATAGCTTGGTTTACTTAGAGTTGTGATTTAAGTGTTAATTAGAGATAATTATCGTATGTGTTAGGCGGAGGCTAGATCGGTGCTTCGTGTACGAGGTTTATTTGCTTGATTACGAGGTGAGTCTTCTCACTATACTTATCTTGAGTGGTAATTCGTGTGACCGGAGGGTCTTGTATGCTATTTGAGTATTGTGATATCATGCATTATGTCTTTGTGATTTATGATGTGTATTATTCTGAGCTTTACTGAGTTAGGACCGGAGGGTCCACCCGAGTTGTGGGACCGGAGGGTCCTACTAAGACACATTGACCGGATGGTCCTATTTGAGATATAGGCATGAGAGGCTAATGAGATATGCGCGGTATTTTGGGGAACTCACTAAGCTTCGTGCTTACCGTGTTATGTGATATGTGTTTCAGCTACTTTTCAGGATTGTGGGAAGGCGTCGGCTTGATTGTACACACACATGAGATGAAGTTTATGTTTTGTGGATCCTGGATTTTCTCAAACAATTTATGAATTTGTATTCTGACAATTTGACAATTGTGGTTTTTGGAATGTGATATTGAGAATTATGTGTTTTAAAAATGAAAATTTTGTCTGAAATATTTACGGTGTTACAGTAGCTTTTGTTTCATGGTGCTCTTCCCCCGTAAGAAAATGAATGAGAAAGTATGGTATTAGATTTATCGATTTGTGTACGTAGATGAATCTGCATTGAAGAAGTAAAATAAGGTAGGCAAGATTTATGTATTGGTTTGATAATTTGAGTTTTGAATATGAATTGAGAGTTATAATTTGCAAACCGCGAATTTTAAGGGATTACAAATTACACTCTATCCTAACCAAGGGCGACCGAATTTCAATCTTGAGAAAGGGTATTTTGGGCACTTCGCAATGAAACTTGAGGGTTTATAAGATGCCAAGTGGCAATAAAAGAGTCTTTTATTAGAATAGGGATGTTGTAAGGTTGATGCAACGCTTGGAAAGACTCGTGTCAACTTTAGAGAGAGATAACACACGTTGCAAAATTTGATTATTTACATAAGAAGCAAAGTACGTAGACGCGAAAGTCAATATGGAAGGGTACTTGGGTATGTCGTGATTGCACACATAACATTTTATGCAAGAAATAACAACCTACTATCACATATATGTTTATTGTATTTCAAATACTCGTGTTTTGATGATTTGTTGTCTTTTGGTTACAAACTTGGGTATCGCGAATTTTCATTTTTAGGGCAAAGAAAAGATTAGTAGTAAGAAATAAAGCAACCAGCAGGAAGCTGTACAGCATAAAACTAAACATCAAAGGACTAAAACAGAGACAATATAACATCCAAACAGACACTAGGATACGAGCCCAAAAGAGCACAGATGACCGCTGCTAGATATAATACAGATTAAACAACACCTAAGAACGAATGCTGATCAGCATCCCCTTTCTGTGCAAAAGCAATCATTTTAGCTATAGCCTTCAAGTTTAATGATATATGTATGTTTGTGATAACAAAAAATATGTACTACTGTACCAATCCTTTCTTTTGCTCTCCAAGTTCATAAGCACGTTGATAGGCTTTAATTCTCTTTGTGTTAACATCTTCAAGCTCCTTCTGTAAACAACAAATGTTCTTTCTTACAAGTTCCATATCCACTTTAAGTCGTGTAACTCTAGTTTTACGTCCCTTCAGATCCATTTTCAAGTCCTCAATATCGTCTAATCGAATCTAAAAAACGAAAGTATAATTACATTATTAAATTAATACTAAGAAAAACTTAGGTGATCCAAGATGTAAAAAGCTAAAAAGTGTTGCGTACATTTATCTTATGTTGTATGTATCTTAGGGAATCTATAATTCTCTTCGACGTTCTTTCTCTTGTGTACCAATTACGAGTATGCTTGGGTTGATCTGGTGCAGTGTAAATTTCTCTTGTTTCCTTGACGTTTCTCATTTCACGATAAATTTTCATTTCATCAGCCCGACACTTGTTCCCATGTTGGATCCTTTGTGCCATGCTATCGATCTTTTAATGGTGAATGGAAGAAATCATTATGCTAAATTAAATGGTATATAGATATAATGTTTAAGAATGTATCAACCTTACCAGGTCGTTAACTTCTTGTGTACCAGATGATGTCATTCCACCCGATTTCTTAGAACAAAGAAGTTCTTCCTGAACTTGTTGCAAATAATGCGAGTCCACCCTCTCTTTCTTTATCAGCCTCTTTTGGCTGCGTTTTCGATCTGGTCTTACAGGTGTTCGAGAATCTTTTTCCGGCAAAGAAAAAAAACCATTTCTTTTTGGGACTAAATTCGTTGGCATATGAATCTCGGCTTTACCTAAGCAACGTTCAAGATTCTTGATTTCCTGCGTCTTCCATTTAATATAATGATCATGCTGGAGAAACCAAATTAATTTCCGGTTTATTTGATATGCATCTGCCTGTTGATTAACCAGTTTACAAACAGATAAACAAGGAGGTAATATGTGAGTTTTCCTTTTGCAACAATTGATCCATGGAAAACACAAAACTTTTAAAAGCACAAAGTTCTATGGCTACCTTTCGCTGTTCTAGATCTTCTCTGACACGGGATCGAGTAAGAGTCAACAACTGATATTGCTTGTCGGCCTCTTCTTTGTTGATCTCCGCAGGTGAAGACCGAAGCTTGACGGAAACTAAACGTGGAACGTGGTTTCCCTTGCTTGCACTTTGTAACTGTGATCTGATGGCTTCGCATTCCTTTTGATCTTCCATTTGAATTGATGGAACAAACTGGATTTGCAAAGAACCTGACATACCTCTCTTATTATTGACTAGTATTTATGGATATATTAGAAGCACTTGCACCCCACGGCAACAAAGTCAACGTTAAAAATAGGTAAATCCAACACGGTGGGTGAATATTTGATATATTTTTTATAAACATTAAAAGTATGTCATTAATTCTAAATATCTTTGATATTATGAAAATATAGATTTGTTTAATTTCTTATAGTTTTTTATAATAATTTTAAATCTTTACTTTAATCAATTGATTATTATATTTTTTTAAATTTAAATTTAAAATATTATTTATATTGTTTATACATATTAAAATATCATATTTATTCATATTATTGTTATAATAAATAATAATAAGTTAAAAATATATATGTAACTGAATATCCAATTAACATTGAAATAATTTGACATTCTTATGGCTCATTTTTTTGGAAAATCCAAAATAATATTAATTAATAAAAGGGAACACGATAAGCAAGAAGCTAGATCGAGCCCATAAGTAAAAGAAATCAAAAGAAGATAGAAGCAACAAACAAATGAAACAAAATTTAAAGTTTTAAGTGTTCGAATGGCGAGCAACCCCAATCCGCCCAGTTTCAGCACCCATGGATACTTTTTTGGTTACACCAAGAGAACGAGTTGGCAATAACGCTGCCACTCTAGTTGGATTAGATGTGATGTTCTTAAAAAACTTGTCGTTCCTTGCGAGCCATATGTGCCAGATTAGACAAAACAGAATGGTGCTTCCTATGGAAATCTTCTTATGGCAATTACCCCAACATATTTTTTCTAAGAGATCCGTGACACTGGAAAACCTCTTGACCTGTAATCCACATGTAATCCACACCAACTGAATATCCAAAAATGAATCTCCTGAGCAAAGTCACAATGAAGGAATAGGTGATCCACTGACTCTGTGATTTTTTTTTGTACAAAGGGCACAACTGATTAGAAATTTGCATGCCCCTGCTTAACAGAGATTCTGCCACTAGTATTCAATTAAGTACAACTCGCCAAACGAAGCACCAAACTTTTAAGGGAATTAAATTTGACTAGCAGATAATAGGGCCTTTGTATGCGATCAGTTTGGAATCAATCAATCTTCTAATATACTTAACAATGTACTTTCCATGAGGTTAAGTTAAACTTGAAACCATATGTAAGAGGGGCCTCCTTGATGTCTAGACGGCTCACGTTTCTAGATCCAAAATAATCCGTCCAGTAAACATCTTTTAGTCAACTCGAGATCATATAAGTGAGGGAATTTTCTTTAGAAAGGAATTGTACCGCACCAAACATCCATTCAAAAAGAACTTGAACACCTGAACCTGGGATGAGGCTGAAAAGTTGATTACATTCTATGTTCAAGTTGCCAAGTGTCGTGACGGCTTTGGAAATGTTACACCAGACACCAATTGATGTTTTCCTGGTGATATAAGTGGCAGGCCTCTTACTCTGATTATGATACTCACTATAAACTCCTTTCATAAGCTCCTATGATCACTTATCAGTTGCCACCAACACTTGATTAGTAAGGCTAAATTTTTTGCTTTGAGAGTCGAAACTCCCAATCCACCATCATCAATTGGGGCAATAATTTTGGACCACCCGATCTAGTGGATCTAGTTTACCGACTCCCATCCCATATAAATTTCCTTCTAATCTTTTCTAATGTCTCAGTTATGCCTTATGGAGCTTTAAAAAGAGACATGAAGTATGTTGGAAGGCTATTTAAGACTAATTTAGTTAACGTGATGCGACCACCAAAAAGAGAGAGCCTTGGCCTTCCAATCGGAGAGCTTGGATTTGAATTTGTCGATTGTAACATGCAAAAATTTTACGCCAAATTTAAACTTTTTCAATCATAAATAAAACCAAATGGTATTTGTTTACAAAATGTTTTCAATCATTAATCATCAGAGTGGCCCAATAACCAGAACATAAGGATGAGGAGCGGTACAGTCACGCCTTCGTCTTGCCATGATCTCCTGAAGTACCTGAAACAATAAACTAAAAACTGTAAGCCCGAGGGCTTAGTGAGCTACCCCCAAAATACCAATACCACACTGTTAATACCATAATAATCACCAATAACATCAACATGCATACTGGGCCTTCGGCCTGACTGGACCGCCATGCAGGGCCTATAGTCTATCTGAATCTGTCCCGAGCCTTCGGCATAACTGGACCGCCACGTGGGCCTACAGTCTCCCCGGACCGCTCATAGGGTGTGTTGGCCTTCAGCACAAAGCAGGCCCGCCTCAACCCAAGCAACAAGCAAATAACCATGTGCGCATAACTAACATATACTGGCATATACAAACATCAAACATATCTATCTCACTGATCACCAATCATAGCAATCTCTCATAACTAGAGAACTGACCTAGCAGGTCACTAACATATCAATCCCTACGGATCATAAGAGCATAACATACTGTCTATCCTGATGCCGATCTAACAGATCATATCCACATGTAGCATACCATAATGATAACAACTAAAGGGCCGGCCTTGGTGCCTTAGACCC